CCAAATGGACTAGGACTAAGACAGAGCTGAAGCTAGTTAGGCCTGAAAAAGACACTTCTGCAGGTAACTTGAGTCAGCTCACGTCACTGCTCCCATCTCAGGAGTCTTTACAATGTCTTTACAATTGTCTACAAGGCCCCGTTTCATTCCCCTAGCCCCAACACTACCTCTGATATCATCTGCTAGCATTGTCTCCCTCACTCACTCTACCTCAGCCTTACTGGGCTTATGTTTGTTCCTGCAATACATTATCTGCTCTCACCTCAGAGCTTTAGCTCTTCTCTCAAATGTCACCTGCTCAGTGAGTCTTCTCTGACCACTGTATTTTAAATTGCATCCCCTGTCTCCATTGAACCCATCATCATTTGACACACTATTTTGTTTATTTTATTTTCTGCCTCTCCACTTCCATAAAAAAGTAAGTTCTGCGAAAGTAGGGGTTTTATCTCTCCTGTTCACTGACACGTGCCTGGCACATAGAACAGAGTCTGACACAAAACAGGCACTCAAAAATATTTATTGATCCAAAGAATACCACCTCTAGCTTCAGATCTGGAAGGGCTATGATGGGGGATAGCAGACAAGATCTGTGTGGCACCCAAGAACTAAGCTAGGTCAATCCCAACTCAATATAAGAAGGGACATCTCATGTATTAAAACTTCTCCAGGAGTCTATGCCAGTGGAAGTGAGCAGGCAGAGAACACATAGTGTAAGGGGAACATCAAGCCTAAAAAGGGGCAGGATGAGAAAAGAAGTATAGCTCGAAATTCTATGTTCTCCAGCCCCTTCATTTATAGTGAGGAAACTGAGACTCTGAGAAACTACCCAAGTTCCCAAAAGTTATAGGAAGAGCAGCAGCTAAAATCTTGGGTTCTTGAGTTCTAGGATAGTGGGATCACTTTTTTCCCCCAATGAGAAAGTCTTCTGTGGCAGAATAATTTCTGGAAATATTTATGTTTGTGTGTGTTGTCTCTCTATGTCCCCATTCCCCATTTTTCTGCTCAATGGAGGCAACCAGGCCCTTGACAGACCTCTTACAAGAAGGATTTTGCAGTGTAGAAAGAAGGAGCAGACGGAAGCCACTGAATCTATCATTCTTTTGTAAACCCCCCCAAACCACAGTGAACACATAATGTCCTACAGGCAAAGGAAAGAGGGAAGAGGCTTCTGAGAGCCCAGAGAGAGAGAAAAGAAGAAAGATTCCTACCACTCTAAGCCCCAGCTGAGAAGGGAAAGGTCCTGAGTCTGGGAATGCAGGAACCCTTAGCAGTGCCTCAATAAGAGGATGGGCATGGCCCGAAAGTGTGCAGAGGGAGGCAGAACCTAAAATCTTAGGGCTCTTAGCTTTCCTTCCCCTATTATTGGTGTAAAACAATGAGGGTGTCAGTGACAACTGGAATAGATTGGAGATTACTTGCCCTTGACCTGATTTTTGAGCACAACTGGATTCCAGTGCTACCCTTGAGGGAGTGGGGACTGCCAGTCTTGAATGACATAAAATTTCTCACTTCCCTGTTTAGATGGGGTGTCTAGGGTTAGAATTCAGTTACTTCAAGGAAAAAAAACTATTTTTTGCCCTCACATATCTGAGTTTGAGGATGGAGATGGATGCCCATTCCATTTTCAGCCTCTTAAAGGATATAACATTACTTAACAGCATCCACTTTCTGCTAGTGATGGGTGCTACACAGGAGCCCGTGGAAAGCTGCATGAAGGGCCCCATGGGCTGGAAGGAGCAGAGAAAATGTGCTCAGGCATCCAGAGGGAGCAAGTGGAAAAGTAGGAGAGAAACTGAGGGAACAAAGAAGAAAAGCCTTCGAGAGCCCAACAGAGGGCAATTATTTTCCCAATGAAAGAGACTATTTCCCACTGTGGCTATTAAGGAATTTACAATTAAGTAGCTCCTCATGAGGCAGCGCTGCAATTGATGATAAAGGTCTGAGTGGGGAAAGCTGAGTGGCAGGAGGCCCTGTTTCCAGGCATCTAAATGCTCATGTCTACTGACTCACTCTGCTATTCATCATCTTTCCCAGGCCACTTATTAGCAGATTTAACCAGGAGGAGTGTTAAGCTCACCTGGATAGAAACAATTCTCAGAGATCCAAGGCTGGGGGTTGGAGTGGGGGATGGGAGTCCCACCGGTGGACTCCACCACGGCCTCAGACACCCAAGCCCCCCTGCTGACTGGGGGAGGGGGCCGTGGAGCTGGGAGGCTACGGTGGGCCCAGTGGGATAGGGAGGAAGCCAGATGTCCCTTTCAGTTTTAGGATGTTCTGAGCTGAGGCCAGCTGCTGGGGCCGTTGCTGTGAGTTGCCCCTAATGTTCAGCTGACGAGCAACTTCACTATAAGTGCAATGGGAAAAGCACAAGATACGGAATCCAGTGAGCTAGTTGAATGAATTTGGAAAGGGTCTTAACCTTGCTGAGTCTCAGTTTTCTCATGTAAGATTAGGGATAACAACAAATGTCAACTTCATAAGGTTAAGTGGAGGATTACACAAGATAATGTAGTTAGTGTTTAGTGCCTGGCACATATCAATGATATTATTCATTCTGTGTTTGGAGAATTATTAGCAGTAATCTTTCTCTTCTACCACCTCTTCTACCCTAGCCTGCCCTACCCTCTTTTCCACACTGACTCGCAGCCAGTGTTCTATATAACCATGAGCAAGTCACTCTACTTCTCCATGACTCTATTTATTTATCTATAAAGTGGGGATGAAATAACCTGCTCTTTTCATCTGCTTTTTAGGGCCATTTAGAAGGTAACAAAGATGGGGGCAGGGCGTGGTGGCTCACGCCTGTAATCCCAGCACTTTGGGAGGCCGAGGCGGGTGGATCACGAGGTCAAGAGATCGAGACCATCCCGGTCAACATGGTGAAACTCTACTAAAAATACAAAAAATTAGCTGGGCATGGTGATGCGTGCCTGTAATCCCAGCTACTCAGGAGGCTGAGGCAGGAGAATTGCCCGAACCCAGGAGGCGGAGGTTGCGGTGAGCCGAGATCACGCCATTGCACTCCAGCCTGGGTAACAAGAGCGAGACTCCATCTCAAAAATAAATAAATAAATAAATAAATGAAAAAATAGAAGATAAAGGCGGAAAGAGTTTGCAAACTAGAAAATGTTACCCTCAGGCCATTTGCCCTTACTGGTTAGTTTTGGCTTCCAGAAGCCAGGCAGCTCGGCTAAAGCCTAGGAATTATTAAGCAAAAGAAGAACAACAGTCAGTAGGGCCCAGAGCCCAGTCAACCTCGTTGGGAGTGGGGCAGTGGGGAACTAGGAGCTTGCCCACAGCAGTTTCCAAAAGGCTTACAAAAAGCTCCCTTATCTTTTGGATATACGTCTACTTTAAACATTAACTGAGAAAAAGGGCAGACCACTTGCTAGGCACCAGCCCTCAAGCAGACCATAGAACAGTGCTGGAGTTGACCTAAGTGAGTTTCTTGATGATAAACAGAAGGTCTTAAGAAATTCCCTCCATGAACACTCCCCCACCCCCCCAAAGCACTGCAAAGCACTCCCCAGGGGACCATAGCAAAGGCAGCCATCTGTCACGGCAGAACAGGAAGAACTCTTGTTTAGCAGGTTCAATGCACCATCATGTGGGTAACACAAAAAATGCTCCCTCCCAGGACACCTGAGTCAGAATCAGGGTGGGAAATCCTGGACTTAGGTAGTTGAAAAGATCCTGAGTCATTTGAGATAGCCCAATCTTCTGACTTGCATATGGGAACTAGTCAAGTAAAATCCAGCCCAAGATTTACCAAAGATGAGATTTGCCCAAGGCCCAGTTGATTAACTGGGGGTGAAAATTAGGGCAGAAACCCGGAGCTCTCAGACTCCAGGACCCCTATGAATTTCTAATAGATATAATGAGATATGATGGACTTTTCCAGAGGGTCTTGCTCCAAAAAATCCTTTAGCAACCATGCATGCTCCTTCCCTCCTTGGATAGTCCAGGACAGTTAATCCAATTTCTATGAAATATCAACTCCCCCCAATAAGTTTCTCTGTTTTTTGTGTTACTCATTTGCTGTGAATTAGCTTTGCTTGATTCATGAAATACAGAGGGCCACCAAGCTTCTTTACTGGTCTGGGGAGGGGCCCCAGGGTCCCTTCAATTATATCCATGGCAGCACTGCCCATGCACTTTCAAGCAACTGCTATTTCAGGCCTTTTGGCTTGCTTAGAGATTGCAGTTGGAGGGAACTCAGGGATGCCAGCTGCCCTTGCTGACAGGGACCAAGGATAAGATTCTCGATTAGAGAAACCAAAGCAATGAGCACAATCACCTTCTCCTGGTTGGTGGCACAGGTAGGCATTTGTATGATAACAGAAAGTGGCAAGTGATTCTTTCCTAGGCTAGGACAGGCCTGGAAATCAGCACATAGCCTCAAGGTGACTGGGTTGTTGCTGTGGTATACCACTGCTACTCACTGGATAAGACACCCTGCAATAAGGGGCAGAAGCCACATCCCCCACCCAGCCCAACAGCTGAATAGGTGAGGCAGGCAGCTACCTGGCCAGCATCTCTTCCCATAGGCCTGGATAAAGAATGTCATTCCTGCAGCTTGGCTTGCCAGTGCCACCATTAGACATAAACTTTCGAATGAGCCATCAGCAGGAGGTACACACCTTTGTCTCCTGGCTGGGAGGTAGACCACATACTTGCAGAAACTGAGGCTAATTTTAGAAGTGCTAGCCAACCCCTGGCATTGTGCAGGGACTTAAGGGGTAGGTCTTAGGGCATAGAAGGTGTGATGGAAACTTTACCAATACGGCATCTGACTGCGATGTAGGGCATGGCTTGGATGCAAAACTGCAATTTTCTCTGCTTTCAAATTCAGCTCTGGCTTCTGTTTCCCCTGTTAGGTTCTCCCTACTACACCTCCACTCACCACCTCCTGGGTTTCTCAATTTCTCTCCAAGGACAAACCCAACAACCATAGGTTACAGGCACACTACTGTGGAACAAACCACAAGAATGCACATTAGTGACTGTGGGGTTCACTCTTGAACCCAGAAGTTTATTAGCATTCAGCAAAGAAGTATATTTTGTTACAAACAGGCAGTGCATCAAGATATCCAGATGTCAGTGAGAGCTAGAAGTGGGGAGGTCAGAACCCAGGTGATTCTGGGATGTCTGAGGGATGGAGAAGGGGAAGCTTAAGTACAGCCAGGGGCCACACTCCCCTTTCTGCACTAGGAGAGAAATAACTCTTACACCTGGGGTAATGATGTACTGCGGTTCCTAATTCTTCCCTGCTTCCTCCAGCCATTTTATTTAACATGACCTAAATATACATTCCTGTTTTATTCCCCCCCACCCCCATATACAGCAGGAAAAAATAAGCACCAATAATAATAACAATAATAATTAAAGTCCCGCCTCTCAATAGATCCAACCCTCACACATATACATACCATGTGGATTTTCTTCTTTGGAGTGACTATAGGATTGGAAAGTGGGGGATCAGGCCAGCAAGCCATTACCCTGAAAGTCACTGTTCCCCAAAGTACCATCCATGTGTGAGCTGGAGCAGGGCAGGGGAAGGAAATGGTGGTGGGTGGGAGGGGGGATATTCCCCCAAAGCAGCAAGAGGGGTGAAAGAGTTCCCCAAGCCTCTTCTGGGCAATGTCACAATCAACTGAGCTCCTGGGAAGTCTCACGCAAGGGTTTCCTCAACGAGATGGTAAATTCCTGATAGTGCAAGCATCATTGCCATCTGTCTCCCACAACCTCTTGGGGAAAGGGGACATGGTTGAAACCCCCTGCCTTCCCCATTGAGTGGAGAATGTCCCCAAAATGCTCCTTTGGAGAAACTCAACAAGACAAATAGCACGATATGGGCACTCTGGTTTCAAAACAAAAGCACAAAACACAAAAAGAAAAAAAAAATAAGATACATGAGTACCCTCGGAAGATCTAGACATAGGGAAGAGGGTTCAGAAGAAAGAAAACATAAAGCCAGAAAATGACAAGCTGTCTACCAGGTTCCACACGCCTGAGTCACTGGCGTTTGTCTTCAGTACCTGGGCATCTTCTGCTGTCCCTATCACATGGGGAAGGAACGAACAGGGTGATACAGCTAAGGTAGGGAGAGGGGAAAGAGGGAGGACCCTAGGTAGTTGAGATGCCAGCCCTCTGCACAAGCAGCAGCAATTTTTGTGTCATCTATGTTTTGTTTAAAACTGTAAACAGCACCGCTTAAAAATAAATCAGAAAAGAACAATTGATAAACATTGTTTTCCATGAATATAAAAAGCAAACAATACAAAATAGATAATGACTTTTGATATATATATATTAAAAACAACTTGAATGCAACATACACATGGGTAAACTTGAAGTCTCCCTGCTAAACCCCATGCCTCCCTCTAGCAACTGGGCCTGGGGTCTGAGGGCAGGTGGGGTGGTGGCATTGGCACAGGTAAGAAAGCTACTGGCAGCAGGATGAAGGGTACACACCCAGCCTCCTGAGTGTGTGAAGCTACTTCCCTTCTTGGCATAGGACTAAGGAGGGAGAGAGACCAGTGTTTATTTAAGCCGTTATCCTGGCAGTCTTGTGGCCTGGTACCCAAGCTGAAGCCAGATAGGTAGGGCTGGCTCTACCTGGGCCCCAACACAGGGCTTTCTTGGGACTCGAAAGCACCAAGAAGCTGGCATACTGGCGCTGGGAGAGGCTCACTGGGTGGCCTTCTCTTTCCACATTCACTGGTCCTCCAAGGACTAGTCTTGTCCTGGGAATTCTCAGGATCACAGCTGTCTGGCACCAGGCCTATTGGGTAACAAGACGAAGGCAGCTGCTTCTATTAAGTCCAATTTTCCCTAAAGTCGCATCCAAAGTGTTATTCCAGGACCTTGCAATAGAGATGTGGTGTTCATCTAGTCATAGTCTTGGAGGTGTGGAAATGATATCAACAGTTTTATTGGTCTGGGGCATATTTGCTGCCACACAAGACAATGCTGGCCTCTGTTTGGAAAGAGGCCTGAAGCTTGGCTGGCTCTCCAATGTCACCCTGTGTTGCCATCACCATGTGTCCCCAGACAGGTCTTTCTTCCTCCTCTAGGCTGCAGCTGAGCTTCAGCCATAAACTGCTCAGCTCTAGAGATTCAAAGGAACCTGCCTCTGCAGTCACATATCCTGACTGCCCCACTTCAGGTGGTAAGGATCCTGTCCCTGGGCTGGCTGGGACAGTGAAGGAACTTGCAGGCAGCAATGCTGTCCAAACCATGAAGTCTCACTCAGCCCCAGGCCCTACTCTGTGGTGTGTGACCTTCCAAAGCCATCAAGTGTGTCAGGGCTATGCCAGTGCCCCTCAGAGGCAATGCCTCATGCTGCCATCCTGACCCTGAGGGCAGCTCTCAGCCCTTAGCCAAAGGTTGACCACCTCCTTTTTCTTCTCCCAGATAGGCTGGTGGCCCTTCTCCAGCAGGGTCTGGAGGCTGGTGATAGCTCTACTGCCTGCTGGGCTGGCACAGTCCACATGCAGACAGGAGCTCAAGCTGCCCTGAAAGAAGAGGCAAGAGGTGGGTTTTCCCTGTTGTAAAGGCATTTGGTGAGTGTTTACTTCCTGCCAAACAGCCAGGCCAATTCCAGCCCCACCTTCCCAGAGCAGCTTTGGGTAAGAGCCAGAAAGTTGGAATGTGGGCACTTGTCTCTTGGAATGCTGTGCTTGGGGTAAAGAAGGCCTTCCTCACCCTCTTTCATTCTCCAGCTCCACAATGTATCTGTAGCCAAAGTCAGCCTGAAGAGCTGGTCTGGGTCTCTTGAGGGGTGGTGTTAGTGCCATGTAAATTCATGTGGTGTTTCCAGTGGTGCAGCTTCTACCAGCCAGGTCCGCTGTTTGTAGGTATGGGCGCTGGGCCAACCCCAATCTGAGAAATGGTGACAAAGACCAGCATGGACACATCCCCTGGCCAAGAAACAGTTTGCCCACAAAGTCACCTTGACTTAGGGGGCAAACAGCATCTGTTCTCAAGCTAAACTGCCATATCTCAGGAATGGCAAGAACCCTGTCGACTTCTTCTCTCAACAGGCCTGGAGACGGGTGGGGTGTGGGGCAGGGGCAGGGGATGCAATAATCATAATTTGAGTGAACACAGCCAAGCAAAAAATGTTCCAGATTCGATTTCCAATAAAGACATGTAAAAGGAGCCCTCTCCTATGGGTGATTAATGAGAGGTTGAGCTTGGCAAGATTAGCCTGTTCTAATGTCTTCCTGACAGCAAGCTCTTCCCCATCAGTATTTCCAACCTACTTTAACATTAAAAACTGCATGGATGCAGGAGAAGGGAGGGCACAATTCATTCCATAAAGAGCTGCAACTGCCATGCAGATCAGTCTTGAAGCTTGGCAGAGCGAGGGTAGATCACAGTCTTTCTTTCCTCCCAAGAAGCCCTGTCTTTTGATGATGCTAAGGATTTGGCTAATTGGAAGATGAAAGCTCTTTAAAGGGCCCAGAACAGTAGCTGAGATGCCTTTGGTATCCTGTCTTGGAAGTACAAGTCTGGGGCCTTATTTCAGAGTCCAAATGATGGGGTGGGCAAGGCTAAAGGAACTTTTTGTGTTAGGAGGCTTGAGAAGGGAGTAGTTTTCCCTTTTAAGAAACAGATACCTCAAGCTCTGAAAAGTCTAAAATCCCCTCTATTGCTAGCTGTGAAAAATGGACCCTCATTTTCTATCTTTCCCCTAAACCCCACAAAACCCAAGCCCCTATATCAAGCCTAATTTAGGTTGCTTCTCTTCCCTTATCTCAATTAAAAGACCGTGTTCCTTGTGATGAGATTATGAAAACTACCTTTAGAGGGCAAAAGAACAAAATTCAAAAGCATCTGCAACTCAGGGAGTCACAGGCTTAAGAGAAGAAGGAAAAAAAATCCTATCATTCCAGAGCTCAAGGCTCTATGGCAGTGTCCGCAATAGAACCTTGTTTTATCTTCTGTTTGCAAATGGATAAATTTTATCACTCCATCAACGGGATAGTGTTTTTGTCTTTAACCTGAGCTATGGCAGGACAGGCTAAAAGGCCCCCATCTGGTCATGATGCCAAAGTCCACAGCAATAGGCAGTGAGACACATGCTACTTGATCCTCTCTAAGGACAGCTAGCTGGGTATGAACAGCTTATAGTCATCTGATGTAATGATGGCAGCTACGCCAAGGCCAAAAGTAATAGGGGTGGGGAGGATCTGTACCATAATTTCACATTGCTAATAGCAAATAAGCCCCCCATCCCCAAGCAGGAGGCAGTGCAGACTTGGCTGCTAATCAGTGGTTCATCATTTATTGTGGGGAAGGGGCAGGGAGCACTAAAGGTTTAGCCTGTGTAAAGGATGCATGCTATATATCTGTATGAGTGTGTGTGTATCTATATACACTATACACACACACACATATGCCGTGTGTGTATAGTGTATATAGATTCTATATATATGTGTGTGTGTGTATATATATATACATATATATATATATATACATATATATATATATATATATATATATATATATATATGTATATATATATAATCACTAACTTGGCAACTAGAATAGGCACAAAATTACAGCATCCCAAACCCAGCGAGGGTCACAAGAAGAAATCCCAAAAGCAAAAACTGGAGTGCAGTAGCAGCAGCAGCCTCCCTGGGCAGATGTACTTGAGTTGAATGTGGCCATAGATGGCAGAAGAGGGAAGTGGGTAAACTAAGGTGAAAACTACTAGGAGTTTTCCTTGGCCCAAAGGATTTTCAAGTTAAACAGCAACCCCCACCCTCCCACCCCTCTGCCCAACCCCTGATCCCCATTCACATGCTCAGGCCCCGTGCCCCCACACCAGAATTGATAACTACTTGGCTAGGTTTCCGTTCATGGCAGTGGAGGAGTAGCTGGTGGCAAGAGAGGCACCTTGCTTGGGACTCTCCTTTGATAGGTCAAGGCTGGAAGGCCCATAGTGAGTGGGCTGAGGCTGGGGGTGCTCAGGCCGGACCCTGGGCAACTGAGGAATGCCATGGGTGATGCCCACAGGCTTGGCCTGGGGCAGAGGGCTGGGGCTGAAACCTCTAGAACTTGAAGAGCAACTGGGCTCATCAACAGGGAGCAGCAAATCTCGAGGCCTGGCCCTCACACTCTGGGAGGCCTGTGGCTGGAGGTTATAACAAGGGCCCATGGGCAGGTGTAGGTGTGAGGGACGAGCTAGCTGAGGCCCGGATTCCCCAGGTGCTCTTGACTCTGGCACTGATAGTGACATTGATGTGGTCATAGGAGGTATGCAACAGGTTGCCTGCCCATATGGAGACTGGCTGGAAGACCTGTCCAACTGGTTGGGGTTTACCCAGGCCGGGCCTGGCCTCACTGGAAGAGGACAGGGAGCCCAAGCAGGCCAATCGTAGGCCCCTGGGGGTTCAGTATAGAGGGAAAGGGGACTGTCTCGGCCCCATTCTCCTTCCTCCTCTTCATCTTCTTCATCTGAATCTTCCTGTTGGGCCTGAAGTTCATCAGACTCCAAGTAGCCCTGGGCCAAGTGGGAATTGGAGAGCTCCATCTCCAGGGTCTCTGCAGTGTCAAGGGAGCGACTTCTCCTGTTGAGGGCCATAGCAGCAGGTGGAGGTCGAGGGTGCATGCCAGGAAGTCCCAAGTATCGAGGGAGGCTGCTCACACCCCAGGGCAGGCCTTGGTAGAATCGACTGTGGTAGTTGCTGAAGGCATGTTTGTGATAGTAGCCCAGCTCAAAGGCTTCCAAGGAGGCTGCAAGATCTTCTTCATTGTGGAACTCAGGATTCTCTTCACACTTGCCTTCCCCATCCCTTTCCACATCAGCAATGTCAAAGGTCACCATGGGAGGCAGCTCAGGGAGATTTTGAGTGAAAGATGAGTCAGAGTCAGAGCTGCAGGACATGCTGGAAAAGAGGTTCCCATTGCTGGTGAACTCTACCAGGGCCTGTGAGAAACTCACAGTGGCATTCCCTTCCTTCTCAACCTCTTCTTCCTCTGGATCTTCAGGGGGTGAATAGGTAGGGTAGGCCCTCCTGGGAGATCCTCCAAAATTTGCTTCTTGCACGTCTGGCTCAAACATGGCATCACTCTGGAAGAGCTGCATCAGGCAAGTACTTTGATCTTTCTTGGAGCAGGTTCCTTCAAAACGCTTCTCCAGAGGACGGAAGTCCCTCCAGTCTGGCTCACTGCTCGCAGTGGTGGGGAAAGCTGAGGTAATTCCCCGGTGGGAAATCTGCGAGGCCCCTGATACCCCTGCCACCAGGCCCATCACTGATGGGCCTAAGGGCCTCATCTGATACTCTAAGATGGGTTTCTCATGTCGGACCTGGGCCTCTCGGACTTGAGACTCTCTAGAACGAGCCTCTCGGGCCTGGGCTTCTCGGGTTCTGGCCTCCCTGGCATGACCTTCCCAAGTGTGGGCCTCCCTGGCATAGGCTTCCTTGCCATGAGCTTCTCGAGTATAGGCCTCCCTGGTGTGGGCCTCCCTGGCCTGGGCTTCTCGGGCACGTGCCTCCCGGGCCTCAAGCTGCTCCCTCCGAAGCTCCCAATACAACAACTGTTTCTGGATGGTCAATAGCCGTTCCTCCTCTGTCTCCATTGCCCCAGGTGGCCGGGAGGAAGAAAAGGGCTCAAAGTTCAAGAAGGGGTCAAACATCTCAGAGCTTCGACCACAAAGGTCGTAAAGGCAGTCATCCCCAGGTGGAGAGTTCTCAAGACTGTCATCTGGCTCATAGAACTCATATAGGGCATCTCCACTGTAGCTGTCTCGGGGCAGACAATCCCTGTGGACAAGCCCCAGGGTCTCACCTGAATCATCCTCAAATCCAGGTGTAGTGGAGTCATAATAACCTTCATCACTATTGGGGGCAGACTCTTGCTGGTCACTCTGAGGAGTCAGAAGTTCCCCAGGGGATAGGCCAGTATAAGATCTGACTGGGTCAAGGAGCATGCAGCCGTGGTGGCCTGGGGATGTGGTGGGATGGTAACCCAGTTTCATATTGGGCCTTGGATACATCTGGGCAGTTGCCCAGAGATATTCTAAGTCATCATCTTCTTCTTCCTCCTTAACCTCCTCTTCTTCCTCCTCTAATTCCACCTCTTCTTCCTCTTCTTCCTCCTCTTCCTCATCATCTGGCAAGGCCATCTCCTCCCCACCTCCTTGGTAGGTCACCAGGCAGGAACTTCGCTTGGTCCCATCTCGGTTTGCTCTCTGGCCCCCAGAGGCCATGCTGTCTGTCATACTGTCCATGTCCTGTTCTGCTATAATGTCACCACAACCTGTCAATGAATCAAAGCTTTTCAGGGATGTCACATCCCCAAACAAAAGGCTCAGCTGGTCACCCACAGGGCCATTGGGTGGGTTTACCTCTCCCGCTACCACCTTCTCCCCTGTTTCTGGGCTATGGGGCTCCTCTACACTACTGGCTTCAGGGACAGGCGTGGGTTGCACATGTGCTGAGGCACAGGCCTCCATGGGTTTTTCTGGATCTTACAGGCCGCTGTCTCAGTAGCTGGTGGAGAAGGCTCTGGTGTTGGAGAAACTTTTGGCCCAGGGGACATCTTGAGGGGTAGCGTTTTCCTTTCTAGGGGCTTGGAAGGTCTCCTCAGAGCAGGGCACCCAAGGGGCTGAGCTCACGTGCTCATGAGGCCTGGCTCTGGCCTTCTCAGGCCCCTTGGTCCCTGGCTCACTTTGCTCAGCCCCAGCGACCTTGCTCTTTCGATGACGGCGAATACTGCTAAAAAAGCCTTTTAGACCTTTCTTTGGCTTGGACATAGAGGGAAACTTCTCAACCCCAGCTTTCTCTGTGGTTCCAGCCACAGATATCTTACATCTGGAGCCTGTCTCCAAAGCCCCATGGGCACTCTGAGAGCTGGGAAATCGGCAGGGTAACTCAGGCAAAGGCAGAGAGAAGCCAGTTCCTTCACTAACAACATCTTCAGGGTCGTGGGCTGCTTCACTCAGGCCATCGTGGGTCTTGCTCTTGCTGAGACCTTTCTTAGAGCTGCCTTTCCCAGAACCTTTGCTCCGTCCCCCTCCAAAGAAACTAGGCAGAGTACAGATACCCTTCTTGCCACCAAAGAGTTTCATGGCAGTTTTCTTCAGCCTACCTGGGCCGGATGAGGATGGCTCTGAAGTTGGTCCTTCTGTCGCTTCAGCTGCCTTGTTCTTGGCTCCTTTTTCTGCCGTTTGTTCATGAGTACTCCCAGAGGCTGTAGCTCCCTTGGCCTGAGCAGCTTCATCCTTTCGGATCTCCATGATGATGTGGACAACTGAGGTATGTCCAGCTGGAAATGCAGCCTCAGGCTTCCAGGCACTGTTACAACATGATCAATCAGGAAGCATCACAGTGGGGTCTGGAGGAGATGGGAGAGACAAAGACAGAGAGACAGATACTAGTGAGCAAGCATCCAGGCTGGGTTTGCTTTCATAGGACATCAGGCTTGAGTGGAACGAGAAATAAAGTAAGGGAAAATCGGGGCAAATCTTAATATATTCCATATGCTTGGCTTGCTGGGCCAGCTCCCTCTGGGCCCCAAGGTAGCAAAACTCTATGCTGAGCAAGAAGCCTTCACCCCCTGCTGTCTTGCTGGGTCCACTCCCTTCAGACAACCCTAAGCTCAGGGGAACACTTAGTAAAGGGACATGCAGATGTGTGAAAAGCCTAGTGGTGCTATTGGCTGTAAGAGGTATTATCAATTATCAAAGGGGGTGAGGATAGGGAGAGACAAGAAAGGCAAAAGGGATGTTGGCTCTAACATCACAGAATTTTAGAAAGCATTTGGCAAAACAGTCCATTGAATCCTCACAGGGTTCTGCTAGATTCAGGCCTCAGTTTCACATTAGTCTGGGCTCTCACTGACATTTTGTCTGAGACTGAAAAGTGGACCTGAAATTTCACTCCCTGTCCACAGCTTCCTAAATTGCCTGCAGAGCCATGCTCAGACCTTCAGAACCTCAGAATAGGAGCCTCACAGATCCACAAACTAGGTCTGCAATCTAGGACCTGATAAGACAATGAAATGGGAGTCTCAAGAAAGGTACTTTATTGGGCTTCAATATTCACCATCCAAGAGGCCTACCAACAACTTTCCCTCAGAAAGGAGATATGAGGGTTGATCGCCAGACCCTCTGTTGGCTGTCCTGCTGGGAAGAGATTTTAATGTGGTCATCAGTGGAACTCCAAATTCCACTTGAGGACCATGAGGTGGACTGTTCTGTACTCTCCTTTTCTGAACAATTTTGTCCCCAAAATGTTAACTCCCTATCTAGGAAGGGAACTCTTTAAAGGCCCTACATGATTCATATTCCTGGCATGTGAGATAGGTTCCCATTGGCTTTTTAAATAAATAAACCTGATGTAAGCCACACCTTCTGGTCAAGGCTCTCAATTTTCCAAATGCCCAAATACCAACAGAGATGGAATAAAAACAAGATATAGCCATTACCCACCACAACATACCTCTGCAACTCTGGTCATCAGCTAGCTCAGTGATGAGCCTGCTAAAACCTGATGACCCCTCCCTGGGACGTCCCTCACCAATGTGTCTACTCTCTGTAGAGTAGCCACCAGCAGATGGGAGATCCCGGAGGAGAGGGGAGAGGGGAAAGGAAGGGAAGGAAGAGGAAGAAAGAGAGAGATAGGCAAGCACCCTTGGTCCAGGAATAGCTGGCCAGCACACCGGGCCTGTGATTGGTTGCCACAGTAATAAGACTCACACATTCACTTGAAATAGAAGACTGTGGACCAGCACTGAGGGTACGAAGAGGCTGGCAGCTATACTCTAGCCTTGGAGGCCCTGGTTGTGTCTTGCAAACATTAATTTGTGCCTGCCGCCTTGCCTGTCATGACACTTGAATCACTTGGATCATGTGATCATCCAAGGTTCCATCAAGAATACTCTGTATAACTGAATATTAAGACTGGAGCAAGATAACAGCTGGTTATCTAGAAAAGAAAAGAGCAGGTGAAAAGACAAGTTCATTTGAACCTCTCTGTGCAGAGATCTGCATTGCCATTTGCTCAGTTTAGAAATTTTTCTATGACATATTTTGACATCACACTGGTCCAACTCAGCCCTGCAACTGATAGCCCTACAATAGACGGCGCCCCCTCCCACCTCCAAATACACACACAATCATACCTAAACACACAATTTTCCAGTTTTCTGCCCCTGGGTCTGGTGGGAATAGGGGCCCTATCATGTCTGAATGCCCCATTTTCCACAGCACATTTTTACCTCAGCCTTAAAATTACTGCTAAGGTTATCATCACGGTGTTGGGGATAGGGAAGTCAAGGTGGCAGTACTGAATTGTTTGTGAAATTCTATTCCCCTCTGTAATTTAGTACTGCAGGGCAGGCAAAGAAGGGAGAACTCCCAGCCTTTGCTTCTAGAAAGCTTCTAGGCTAACAGGAGAGTCCTATATGTAACAGTCTGTTAGGAACTGGATCACACAACAGGAAGTAACTGGAAGACAGGAGAGCGAAGTGAGCATCACCTGAGCTCCGCCTTCTGTCAGATCAGCAGAGGCAGTAGATTCTCGGTAAGAGCGTGAACCCTATTGCAAACTGCGCATGCGATGGATCTAGGTTACACTCCCAAGACCATCCCCTCTCTGTCGGTGGAAAAATCGTCTTCCACAAAGTAGGTCCCTGGTTTCAAAAAGTACGGGGACCACTGCCCTTAAAGAATAGCTCCTGTTATTTCTTAAGCTGGTTGGTGGAGTATCTTTCTTTACACCTTGTAAACATATTCAGAGATAAATGTGAAAGGCAGAAAGACACTCCTTAAGCTGTGAAAAGCTGCTTTGAGGCCCGGCGCGGTGGCTCACGACTATAATGCCAGCACTTTGGGAGGCCGAGGCGGGTGGATCACAAGGTCAAGAAATCGAGACCATCCTGGTCAACATGGTGAAACCTGTCTCTACTAAAAATACAGAAAATAAGCTGGGCATGGTGACGCACACCTGTAGTCCCAGCTACTCGGGAGGCTGAGGTAGGAGAATTGCTTGAACCCAGGAGGCGGAGGTTGCAGTGAGCCGAGATCACGCCATTGCACTCCAGCCTGGGTAACAAGAATGAAACTCTGTCTCAAAAAAAAAAAAGAAAAAGAAAAGCTGCCTTGAGGTGGTATTCAGTCTGGGTCTTGTCAGGGAAGAGGGAGTGGCAATGGCAGTGATTTAGGGGAAGGGGTGCTTGAGACTAGCAAGTATGTCTGGGCCTCAAGGAAAACCTAAGAGCCAAGTGAAAAAGTTCATGGGCCTAGACATCCTTGTGAATCAAAGACTGACTTGTCCTGCTGGGTTTGGGGCTGGAGTTCCTGGGAACAGAGGGATTAGGCAAACGGAATCACAAAGAAGGCTGCTTTCCAGAACGTTGATGCCCCAGTTGGAGGACAGTCTCTTTGGGCTTTCCCTTTCGCTTGCTCCTATGCTCTGTGGGAGTAGAGGGCAGTCCACCCACCTCTCTCGGTATGGCCCGTTCCTGCCACAGGTCACATAGTGTAATGGTGAGTGCAGTGGCGCGATCTCTGCTCACTGCAACCTCTGCCTCCCGGGTTCAAGCAATTCTCCTGCCTGAGCCTCCCAAGCAGCTGGGACTACAGGAACGCACCACCATGCCCAGGTAATTTTTGTATTTTTTACTAGATATGGGGTTTCATCATGTTGGCCAGGATGGTCTCAATCTCCTGACCTTGTGATCCTCCCGCCTTGGCCTCCCAAAGTGCTGGGATTACAGGCATGAACCACCACGCCCGGTCAATGAGGGGATTTTAAAGAGGTGCATGTATCTATACAAACTCCTCTGCTAAGAGAGGTTTGAAAAGCCCTCTGTGTGTGATGTGGGAGACAGAAGAACTAAGCAGGGTGTCCCGGGATGGAGTTTCTCTTCCCTTAGTTCAGGCCCTTCTCCTAACCAAGCTCAGGTTAGGAGAAGATGTTTGCTGGCAGGTACCAATTTTAAACTGGTACTCTGTGTTGTCTCTCCCAGAGCCATGTCCCCCAACAGCCATTCACAGTGTCTCTGCCTATGTCACCCAGAACACTGAAAAGGAGGGTGGCAGGGTCACCCATAGTTGGTAGCTCCCTAGCCTGGCCCCACCTAGCTACCTCTGCCCCAGGCCTCTTCTCCATACTTTGCTACTCAACCTGGTGCCAAAGCTATCCTTTCTCAATAGGTTATGCAGCCTTTACTTAGGACCACAAGAGTTCACCAGGAGAGTGTGGTGGGGCAAAAAGCAAAGGAGACAGCAAAGGACAGACTCTGCAGATGCCCCAGGCTGGCGTTGGCTTTCTCTGGGGGTCCTGCCAAGAAAGTGACACTTGCAAATGCAGGGCCCCAAAACCCTCATGTTTCTCAACCAATGTGGCTGAGTTTCAGGTGGGCTGGGGGTTAAGAGAACCCTCCCAAGTCACTCTGTGGTTGCAGGGGCTGCCTGTTGCAGCTGCTGCTATCATGACAGAAAGTAGGCTGCGGTAGAAGTTGCTGGGGCCATTCCACCTCCCTCAGGCCATTCTGAGGCCAGTAGAAGCCTGGCTACAAAGGAAGAGCTTCTTCCTTCTCCTCTCCACTTAAAATATAGGCAGGAGGCCAACCACATACCTGCCCTAGAGAACCTTCTCAAGGAGAAGGGACAGCTGCAACATGACCCTTACTCCAAATCCGCTTCCTGGGGCCAGCTTGGCCAACTTAGATAGGGCTGAATTGGGGGAAGAAAGAGAAGCATGTGGATTTATGCAGTAGTTCCAGAGGCATGGCCTCGACCAGCTATAGTTCCTCAGGACTGTTCTAAGCAATCTTCCTGGAGGCAAGCCCACTTCAGGTCCACCTGCCTTTCTGTATGCTGGGGAGGGTTGGTTATGGAAAAAATGGTGAGGATGGCCCTCCAAAGAGCTGTCCAGTTCTGAGCTGGAATCAACTCTGCCCAGCCAGAGAAAATCCAGCAAGTTTTTTCACATGTTTATGCCTCAGCTTCCTTAACTGTTAAATGAGGCTATTGAGAGTGCCTACCTCTTAAGGCTATTATTGTAAAAAGTAAAACCAATGCACATAATGTACCAAATCAAGTGCATTACATAGCAGAAGCTCAAAACATTATAGTAACTAACTTTCATTCATATTTTATTCAAACTATGGTAGGACGATTCTTAGAAGAAAAATCATCTCAGTCAGAGTTGAGTAGGGTGCTCCCTAGGGCTCTGTGGGTAAGTCACCAACCTCCTTGGGGCTCATTTTCCCCAAATGGCAAATAGTAAATGAGGATAACTGTGTGGTGATGTCTTAGGAGGCTTTACTTGCTCATTCAGCCAACTTTTGAAATTCAGGGACCTAAAAGAGTCAGCAACTGGCTAGCA